GGCCACCAATAATTGATATGAATTATCGTTAACGAAATAACAGTTCCCAAAAAATCTACAGATAAATCAAATTTTATGATAAGTCAATGTTGACTTGGTGTGAATATAAATTGTAGCATATTCTTTAAAAGCCAACTCCCATGATGATGATGTGCATTAATGGCTTCTAAAGGCCACTCAACTAGTTATCCATCCCATTAAACACTACCAATAAAAGACCAAAACACAACCACAAATTCCATATTTATTTCTTCTTTTTCAGAATATCTGAAATATATTATCAGATTATTCTATAAAACAGTATTGAACAGATATAAAAGAGATTTGAATATATATTGAAACGAGTAGGTAGGTCAAAGCCAACCATTTCAGTTATGGCACGTTGGTTAAGGACAAAGAGATTCACCTGTGATGACTTCAGGCTATTTGTGGTCACCTAGGGGATTAGTTGGTGCGTGTAAACTGACCTGAAAACGCATGGTTACCCAAGAAAAAGAATGAGTCAAAGTTTAGTTGGTTTGAGACTCTAACACACCACCTTCAACGAAGACTAGACAACACAAATGTCTCAAGCTCGTATAAATTGGTTATAATAACAGGTGAATTCACACGTACTACGCACCTACTAGTGTGGTTTAAATCCAGACGTTTTTTTGAGAGGTTAGGTTTTACTGGTTTTCCAGATACTGTCAGATCAAAAACCATTTGGTTAATACATCGTGTGTTGTCATAATGAAAAATAATGACCACTATGAATGTTCTCAATTTTCCATCTGGAACAATCTTTATTATATACGAAATTATCCACTATATTAGATTAGTCAGTAAAACCATTATTGCCTTCGTAAGGATATACACAGATAATTTAAAGTCAATGTAAAAGTTGGATCGAAATACTTTGAACACGTGATATATCTCCGTAGTATGTACTTGTATTTTTCCAAACACTGTATAAAATCATTAGTAAATAACACAAAAGCGTACAATACTTTGATCAAGATTTTATTTTGTGTAATATACTTTCAAAACCTTCATTTTGGTATCCATGTACGTTGGCATTTTTACTGTATTCCAACAAGAAACCTAAAAATAAATGCTAGAGCTGAAGGCTCATCAGTCATCCGTAGAGTCTTCTCATGGGCAGAGACGATTTTCTTAATTGTTATCTTCAAATCCCAACGTAATCAGTCCAGATACATAGAAACTTTTCAGATATTAACTGTTACAAAAAAAAAACTATGTATCTAAATATCTGAGATGTCTTATGTAGCAAAATTAATATTCGAAAGTATGTTACATAAAACACGAACCATATCAGGTAACGTTTATTTTTATCTGATTTATCCTAAACAGAATATAGAATTTCATACAGGACAAACTCGGAATTTATAACAATTATAATTTAGAGTACGAAAAAAATAAAATAAAAGAGGAAATAATGAGCGACCTCGACCAGCTGTAGGAAATAGTTGGCAATTAATCCTAATTCTAAACATTCCATAATTATATAAAATATTAATTAAGGAATTAATATTTTCTATTAAATATTTCTTGTTATAGCTAATATTACAAAAAATCAATTAATAATATATCATATGTGTCTTGATAAGAATTTAATAAATTAATTATATATCATTTTCAACTTGTAATTTAAAATGTATTTATTTATTTACAATTTAACACTATAATAATTAATAATTAATAATTAATAATCCGATTAACAAAATTTAGGAGGATTCGAGGCGTGGAGTCGTTTGTTAGTATCGGTTTGTCAAGTTATGATCGTCAACAAAATTTTACGATCAGTGTTTTCGATATTCTACATGTATTTCAAGAGAAATCGAGGACAATAAGTTAAAACATATCAATTTGACTTTTGAAAATAATTATTGTAATATTCCAGGTTTGAATTAAATATATTTAATTTTGTTTTGAAACTGAACAAAACTTGTTGTAAATAAAAACAAAAGCGACGTTAAAATTCCAACTAAAAATCCTTTGGAATTGCGTTTAGAGTTGAATTTCGAAATATAAAATGTGGGATTTTTGTAGAAATCAAGTACTGATAGGACAAGATTATATACGGAATTCTTTACTCCAAAATTTAAAGGGAATAAACTCGTGTTTATCTATACTATATTATAAAGCATTTGACAAAAACTCTTAAAAACCATTTTTTATTCGTAAAGTACTGCTTATTAATGCATATTACTTAAAATTCAAGATTACAAGTAGATTGTGCKTAAGTACAACTTATTAAAGCTCCATATTTGAATTCGTGTAACTAACTGCAGATAAACATAATCAAATACAAGATAATCATCTCATTTTAAATATAAGAAATCTAAAATATAATTAGGATAATCTTTGAATTCTAACATAATACTTAATTATTATCTTTATAAAATTTATAATATTAAACCAAAAATAAATTATTTMATTATTAAACTTAAATTAAATTATAATAAAAAAATAAATTAAAGAAATTACATAAAATGAAAACTTTTAAATAGTTGATTTGATATTAACATTGATATATTTTTTTTTCAAAATTTTATGATATATTCAAATTTATATTTTATTCAAAAGTAAAATCATTATTGTTTTTTTAAAAACACATAAAATTGTATTATAACATCGACAGAGACAAATAATAAAATAAAACATTAAAATCGAGATGTGTATCGCTGCATTGCGCAAGTACTCTTCTAGTGTTTAATAATATATGGGAAAAAAAATTGGTCACGGAATATAACTTCTATCGTAGGCGTTCTTCTGGAACCACATAAAACTTTCGGAGGTAAGCATGTATAACATACTGAAAAGAAAGGTATCTCCATAACGTAACGTAACGAAAGAAATTCTAATAAATATACCAAATTAAAATACTTTAATTTCTTAAACGATCAGTAATACATATTTTTTAAACTGTCGTATCGAACAGGTTTTTGGAGTCTGTGAATAAGACAGATCCTTATTTATATTATGTTTGCTAGCTGATAAACTAATTGTATTTGATAAAAACTAGCTAATAAATTAAATGACAATATAACATGATCTAAAATAACATATTAAAAAGTTATAAAAGACATGATAAAAAAAATGAAGAAAAGCCTAACATTTTAATAAACTACTTTATGGCTAATTAAATAACGTTTTCAAAAGTTAAAAAAATAAGTTGGTTTATAACTCCGAATCTTTAAAACGTATAATGAAAAAATGGATTATTATCATAAATAACCACATGAGCAAAATTTCTTAAACTTTTTTCCACAAGATAGTAAAAAAAAAGTCCTGCAAGTCAACACTGCAAGACACTTTTTCTTGTTGTGCTGCAAGTTGTAGTATGTTCTTGTGGTGCCGTAAGCTATGATGTCCCAATTTATTTTCACAGTGGACCCACTTTTCATCTAGATGCGTCAAAAAGCATCGGAAACCGCAAGAAAAAAACATCTTACGACGTTGACTTGCAGTTGCTTAATTAGTTTATGAAAAACAAAAAAGTTAAGATGGTTGTCAAAGAGTGTTTGGAATTGTTGGGAGGAAAGCTGATGGGAGCCAACAATGTGTCCTGGTTGGATGTGAAACGGCGAGAGCCAGTTTGCCGATCGACTCGAGAGTAGACCGGTACAGATTGGTGCGGCGACCAAAACCCGTGCTATTGATATGCTCGTGGAGATAAAAAAGTAAATCTTTTTTCCCGTATAATTATTTATGATGATAATCCAAAAAAGACATTAATTTAAAAAAGAAAATGTAATTTTCTTCTGTTTCTTTATAATTTTGAAAAGTGGATAATATTTGTTTGTAAATAGAATCTCATATAAATATAAAACATAAATCGTATTTTTGAATATTCCTGCCTACGTGGACCTTAAAATGAATGTGAAGGGGGTGGTTTTGTAAAATCTAGAAAATTGGAGTCCTGAAGTGTTAATATTGAATTGTTCCGTTGCGTGGGGGTAATTTAGGTAGGTCCAAAGTTTGGCTAAAGTTTTTGGGGTCACGAACAGGTTCCTTGAGTGCTCGGTCAATCCAATAAAACGCGTTTATGAGACACAGTCCATCATACGTTTCACCAAACTACCCCTTGTTGAGACCCGGTCCATTATACCATTTGACCAAACTGCCCCTTACATGTGTCATTAGAGGAAATACTACGAGCTAAATGGATTGGAATTTTCATCATACATATATATATATATATACACTTGGAATTTTCATCATATATATATATATATATATATATATACACACGGAATTGGGTTTTTACGAAAACAACTTGTTTTCTTAGACTCATGAGAACAATTATAAAAAAACACTGAATCTTCATTATAAAAACATATTGAAGATAAAAAAAAACAAACTTTCATGATGTTTATGCTGTGATATTTTAATTTTATTTTGTGGTTTCATGAAACAATCTAAACGTGATCCCATTAAGTATGCAAACTTAGTTGCTATACAGTATTGGAAGTTGCACACCACGACACTATGGTAATACCATGATACCTACTTATTTAATTATTTATTAATTTTTGTATTTTTTATGTGTTAAATATTAAACATTGCAACTTTAATTCTTTGTCATTGGAATTAAAATCCCCTAAAAATCATATGTGCTACCTGTAAGCTGAAAATATCATTTAAAACTTATAAAACGTCAAGTCTTCATATATGTAACTTGAAGTTGGTTGAAAACCAATACCAACATCTATCAATCAAAAAAAATTGATACCAAACACAGTTAGTTAGTACATAGTTTAAAATTTTACATACCAACTATAATTAATTGATACACAATATATGAAGAAAAAAAAAACTTTTAGTATTGTATTGTGTTTATCCTTAATAAAAACAAAAGTAAAAAAGAATATTATATTATAGTTTATTTGATTTGATATATAAATGTATCCTAAATGAAAAGGTAAACCCCAACACCAAGGTCAATTTCGTCAATTCCAACAAATATTCCATGTCAAATTCCATATATATATACACACCACCATCATTACATACACATTCATATATGTATAATTTACAGGAGAGAAAGAGGTAGAAGACGACAACACAATCGGACACCTCCATTAACCCACACACAAAAACACCATTTTCGTTCCTTTTCCTTTCTGGGTTTCGTTTTTAATTTCTACATATCAAATCTTCAATTTCTTTGCAATCGATCCACGGTTATCTACTCTTTCATTTCTCTCACTTACTCTCAATGATCAAAATCTCCCATATTTTCCGGTTGTAATCGGATTCGAAGTGAAGAAGTTTGTATTCGCCCTCTGATTGTTTGATTGATTTGGGGGTGATCTGTTTGTTTAATCGATTTGGGAATTTAGGGTCCGAATGGCGTTTCATTTATCGAAGTTTCTCAATAAAGTTTATTCGATGGCAGAAGGGGGATCTCGTTATTGTTCTAAGAAATCCGATGATGTCTGCGGTGAGGTAATTTGATTAATTCATCAATTTCGTTCAATTGCATTGCGATTTTTTTAGGTTTAAATTTTTATGATTCGTATCGGTTTCCTTCTGTTTTGTGAGCAAATTAACGTTTGGTGAACATGTAATTTAAAATTCAAAAAGCCTTTTTGAGCTCTCAATTAAAAATTGAAGAGTTTTTAATTCTAGAAAGTCAAAAAGGTTGTCTTTTCGGGGCTCGGTTTCTAGAATTGAAGATTCAATTGTTTTTTAAATCGTTTTTGTTTATAAATTTTCCCCAATTTTGTTGGTTGTGATCTGGGGTTTGATATTGCCTTCACAAGTTTCTTGATTAGAACCCTAATTTGTTAAATTCAGAACTTTCTAAGTTGGGTATTTGCATCAAATTTTGGCCTCTCAATTCTTGTTATTCACGATCAAATAATGTTGATTATTACCCAGAAATTTTAAGGGGTTTCCATATTCATGTTCTTCATATTGTCTTCATAAAATTTGGTGATATACTCTAATTAGGGCCTTAATTTTGTTAAAATCATAACTCTTTAAGCTCTGCGTATTCGCCCCCGCTTCGTTGAAGAACCAAAGCTTTGATTTTGACCCGAAAATTTCGAAGAAAGAGTCTTGATTTTGACCCGAAAGTTTGTAAAGGTGCTTCCTTTTGTGTATGTTTTAGGTGGATGATTGATGAAAATGTACATTTGATTTGCAGGATTCAGGGAGATCTTCGACTATGTCGAGAGTAAGATGCATTCTTCGTGGGTTAGATTTGAAAACCCTAATCTTTCTATTCGTATTGGTACCAACCGTCATCTTTGGAGTGTATGTTCACGGTCAGAAAATCTCCTACTTCTTGCGTCCGTTATGGGAATCACCACCAAAACCGTTCAACGAAATCCCACACTACTATCACGAGAATGTGTCAATGGAGAATCTCTGTAAGCTTCACGGATGGAAAACACGCGAGTTTCCAAGACGGGTTTTTGATGCAGTTTTGTTTAGTAACGAAGTCGACCTCCTTACGATAAGATGGCATGAGTTGTACCCTTATGTTACTGAGTTTGTACTCCTGGAATCAAACTCAACGTTCACTGGCTTGCCTAAGCCCCTAGTGTTTTCTGGCCACCGTGATCACTTCAAATTTGTCGAGCCAAGATTAACCTATGGGATGATTCCGGGAAGATTTCATAAAGGCGAAAACCCTTTTGTTGAAGAGGCTTATCAGCGATTAGCATTAGATTATCTTCTAAAGAAAGCCGGGATTGAAGACGATGATTTATTGATCATGTCTGATGTTGATGAGATCCCGAGTCGACACACGATCAATCTGTTGAGATGGTGTGACAATATACCTCCGGTTCTTCATCTTCGCCTCAAGAACTACTTGTATTCATTCGAGTTTCTTTTGGACAACAATAGTTGGAGAGCATCTGCTCATCGATACCGATCCGGAACAACAACATATGCTCATTTCCGTCAATCGGATGTGATCTTGGCGGACGCAGGGTGGCATTGCAGCTTTTGTTTCCGTCGTATAAGTGAATTCATCTTCAAGATGAAAGCGTATAGCCATTTCGACAGGGTGAGGTTCAAGAAGTTCTTGAATCCTGATAGAGTACAGAAAGTAATCTGTAAAGGGGCGGATCTTTTCGACATGTTGCCAGAAGAGTATACGTTTAAGGAGATCATCGGGAAAATGGGGGCGATTCCGCATTCGTATTCGGCTGTTCATCTTCCTGCATATCTTCTTGAAAATGCTAGTGATTACAGATTTCTGTTGCCTGGGAATTGCTTGAGAGAAAGTGGTTGAATTACATAGAGGTGATCAAGAAAAGGGGTTTGACCAAAGAGAGACAATAGTCAACTGGGGTATGCTGTTTGTTTTGCTATTGTTTAAATGGTTATGAGAATGGTTTATAGAGGCAGATGAGATGATGATGATGATGATGATGATGTATATAATCTGTCTACACTTCCATTTGTTTGTTAGTTTTGGGGAGGCTGTGGGTTGCCTGTTTATTACTGGGCATTATGTTTCCCTTCCTGCTGCTGCTGCTGCTGATTGGTGGTATATTAGGAAATTTTGAATCAATTGAGACTAATCTATTTCATTATCTTTCATTTTTTCTTGATGGGTTTTGCCTCTTTTGGATATATATATATATATATATATATATATATATATATACACACACACACTTGGAATCATGTGAGATCAACCTGTTTTCGTGAGATCATTTTTTTACACTTAAAACTTCACAGTAAAATGCTGTGAACTGTGAAGGTTCGGATTTTTTTTACCTTCACAGTGTTTTTGCTGTAAAGTTTCAAGTATAAAAAGGTGGTCTTACGAAAACAGACTGGTCTCATGTGAACCCAACCCTATATATCACGTGAACCCAACTTATAAAAACTACTCTTAATATTTTTTTTGATGAAATTTCATGTTAATCATCCAGTGTTAATCTTATCAAAAAATTTCATGAAATTGTTAATCTTGTGAAATTGTTTCATATAATATTTTTTTTGATGAAGTTGTTTCATATATGGTTATGAAATTGTTTCATATACTACTTAATGAAATTTTAATGAAACTGTTTCATGTATTTCTCTAAATTAAAATAATGAAGATGATAATATCCATGATTA